AGCTGAAACTTCACAGACACATTCTGGGGACACCTGAGACTTATATTACATCTTGTAAAAAGGTGCTTAATAGGGGCCCTTTAAACAAACTAAAAGTGTGGGTTTATCTATAATACGTAAGATACTTCTCATCAAGACAATGTATCTTACATACCATAGACAAACCCACACTTTTAGCTTGTTTAACCTCTAATTAAATCAATAACAAGTGGAGTTTTAGTTGTTCCCTCACATTGACAGAATATTAAACACTGTTATGCAGTAATACTGAAAATGAAAGAATGAAATGAATCATACTGGAATGTGTGTTAAAGTGTTAACATTTGAGCTGTGTCAAAACTTTCTAATATTGTGTATAATAGAGAATCGGAGAGAAATCAAAGAGAGCTTTCACCTTTTTTTTTGTTGTTGAAGGGTTTGTTTAACCCCATTAATGAGTCATGCTGTCTAAAGATGTGTCTAAGTGAAGTGTGGCAGATAACCTCCTAACTACTTCCTCTTCCTGCCCGGCCGTTGGACGGCTGCTGCTGGTTATAGAGTCTGATTTATGACGCCATGTAAATGCTCCCATTTATTCTACTGCCGTTACAGCTGCACTTCACTTCACTTCAGTACTGCATATGCACACTTCTCTAGGGCCTCAGTGTGAGTATTCAAGTAACACAGTTAGTATGTGTAAAGAAAGTCAGAATGACTGAGGTAAAAATAACCAACAGAACAGAAAATCATTTTAATAATTTCCTGCCACTAACATTTTTCAAACATTTCAGAATGTTAGGTGTTGCATTTTTTTTTTGTCAGCATATAATACATTTTATGTAATAGCATCACTCATCAGACGTTTGAACCCTTTATATAACATTCACCATTTTCAAACTACACTGTAAAAATGACTTTTTGAATTTATAAATAAACCAAAGATTATTATTATTATTATTATTGTTTTGGGATAATATACTCTTTTCAGTTTTTCTACTTCAAAATGTCATGATTCATTTAATGTTACTTATCGTTTCTTTGTAATTGTTTGTGAAATTTACTAGGAGTGAACATTTCTTCTACACCAATTTTCTTTTTCTTTTTTTTTGGCAGCAAATCATTGCTGATTCCAGATATGCTAATTCAAGGTTTTAAATTACTGTGTTTAATAATAATAATCTGTGTCTTAATCTCAAAGCTATGCAACCATATTTGGTCAAAAATAACCCGAAGCTGTCTGTAAGTCTAATTTGGTGTAGAAACAATTTTCACTCAGAAATTGCTAGTAAATTTCAAAAATAATTACAAATAACAGGCAAGCAGCAATTGAATTGAATGGGAAATTTTGAAGTAGAAAGACTGAAATAGTATTTTCTTGTAAAATGTATTCCAGTAATCTTCGTTTTATTTATAACTTCAACAAACATTTTTTTTTTGTTTTTACAGTGCATATTTATAATGTAGAAAAGAATCTCACTGAACGTCTTTCGAGTTTCCACCCTCTTTTCCTGCAGATGGGAAACTCAGTGTTGTGGAGGAAGTTGCAGTTGATAGTCAGCTCTGTTTTTCCTGCTGTTTATGTCTGGAGGTACGGTGCAGATAGCAGACTGGAGGTTTTTAGAGAGCTTTTGAGAAGGTGGTCTGGAATGAATTCGCACTTGATTCCAAATAGACAACCAATGAAAAGCGGTCACATTTTTTGCACCTTATGCAGCCAAACCAGAACAAGATGTCCTTTGATGGCCTGTAGACTCGTTGCATCACTGGCACTGGTGTGGGAACACTGACCTGGATGTGTGGAAGCAGGCGGGTCTGACTGCAAACGCATACAGTCAGGAGAAGAGCGGGAAACTGCTCAACACAGACTACCTCCTTTTCCAGTGGCTTGGCTTCTGGAAATACTTTTCCCATTCGTTTTCTCCATTAGGCATTTCAGACATTTCTTCGATAAAGAGTACTGAACCTTGAACCAGACCAACCAGCTCTGAGATGAATCATAATTTTACAATGTATTTCAAAGATACACTGGGTGCTTGACATATTTCATGTCAATCTAAAAAAAAAAAAAAAAAAAACACAGCTTGCTCGACAGCTTGCTTAGTGTCATGTTAGCTTCTGTCATGTTTGTGTAGTTAAAGTAAAGAGCATTTCTCCTCCCTGACTGCACTTATGAGAGGGGATTCTTGACATCAAATAATGGCTTAAGGCCCGTTCACACCAAGCACGATAACTATAAAGATAACGATAAAGATATAGTTCTAAAAATCATTCTCAATATTAAAGAATAGCATAGTTCACACCACAACTATAACGATAACGATACAGAGGAACGATATCGTTGTGATCACTTTCAAAACGATTTTTTTCCAGCTGATGAACGATAAAACACTGACAGCCAATCAGAATCCATCCTGCTGTAACGAGCTCAAGAATTTAAAGCGGCAGACGCATCTGCGCTTAGAACAAACAGACGATATCGTTTGCTGGTGTGGACGCTAATATCGTTATCTTTATAGTTATCTTTATAGTTATCGTTCTTGGTGTGAACGGGGCTTTACGGTCATTTTTCTTAAACAAGAAAAAGAAGCAAGTGTTATGGAAAGCATCTGTTGTGGAAACATAAAACTGGCAAAATTTGAATTCAAAATAAAATGCAAAATGACTATTATAAAATGGATAGTTCCGGTCCTTGATTCTGATTGGTTGAGCTGCGTTCGAAGCTGTTGTAAATTACTCTACAAACATACACCTTTGTTTACTTTTGTGTGTTGCTCGGCAACCACTTTGTTGGAACCACAACTGTTTCTGAGGAACTACATTGTTTGGTAGAAGAATACAGTTTTTATTAATATCATTACACTTTATTTGCTCTGTTTTATTTTGTGAAACCTTACTACGTATATGGAATAACCGTTTTATAAAAGCAATAAGCCTCGGTTTCGCGTCGTACCTAACAACGCCCCTTAGCTGTTATATATTCACTGTAAACCACGGCTTCACGGGGCTTATTGCTTTATTTTACACTACCTTTAATTCAGCAAGGGTGCATTAAACTGATCAAAAGTGAAAGGTATTTAAAATGTTACAAAAGATTTTTGTTTCAAATAAAGGCTGTTTTGAACTTTCTACTCATCAGAGATTCCTGAAAAAAGCTCTAAAATATTTAGCAGCACAACTGATTTCTAAAGGATCATGTGACACTAAAAACTGGAGTAATTATTATGAAAATTCACCTTTGCACAGGAATAAATTACATTGTACATTACATTCAAACAGAAAACAGTTATTTTAAATTGTAATAATATTTCACAATATTACTGTTTTATTGTATAAATAAATACAACCTTGGTGAGTATAAGAGACGAATCAAAAAAAAAAAAAAATTTGCCAACCCCAAACTTTTGAATGGTTGCATTTGTAAAATACAACCTGGTCTCATAAAAATACATACCTCTGGGTACTTTTCTGGAACACCGTTTTTACGTACCTTACTGCACGTTTTGCCGCAGTTTCAAAGAGAAATGTCCACTGAGTGGCGCTAAAACACGGGTTCAATACATGAACCCTGGCACGTTTTTATTACGTTGATATAGGTATGTATTGCTGTGTTTTTTTATATTACGTTGCTTCAGGTACGTATTGTGGCGGTTCAGAGTTCAAATATCCGGGGACTGTCGCTAAAACTTAATGCTCTGTCGTGTTGGAAATATGCCCTACACCAAACCCAACCCTAAACCTACCCGATAGTGTTAACAAATGCAAAACTGATATAAAAACGCATTTGTTGATGCAACCGTGCCATTTGAACGTCCTTATATGCAGATTTGAACTGTTTTGTTGAACCGTAGTACCACGGGATTCAAACCGGAGCTCCTCACCTCTCAAATACGTCTCCGTACTCCGTGAGCTACCGAACAAACCTGCCGTCGATGAAAACCCATAGATATGAAGCTTGATATGTGTGATGCTAACATTCAAAAGCATCAGTTTTCAAATCTCCCAGCATATTAAAATTGTTTTGAAGTCATAACATAATATTCTTCAAGTAATTGTGCAAAAATTGCGCTTTATTAGTCGAAACTCTGTACATTTGTGCAAAAAGGAGTAAAAGGTGTCAGAGTTTTACTGCCTCTAGTGTTCATTTATTTTGGAAACTGCAGTGATATGTACTTATTGGTACGTATTTCGCATTTGGCGAAAAAGTGCCCCCAGGTACATTTATACCATGAGACCAGGTAGGTAAAATAGCATTGCAAAATGTTTTTTTTACATTTTCCATAACATTTGTGCAACATTTAGTGCAACATTTAAAGATTAAAAAACAATTCTGCATTTTTAACATTTAAATTCCTGCTGTGATTAGTTCTCAAGAAGAGCGTCTATGGCACGCTGTGAGTTTACTTCAGTGCAGGGTATTTTGTTGCAGTCTAGTTACAGAAATAAAACATCAAAAAGTGACAAGCTTTAGTTTTGGAGAGTCATTTAATTATTATTCAATAATGCAACAACATCCTGTTTTCACTAATGTTGAATTCTGAAATCACAATGGGATTAATTCAATTGAGGAAGTAAGCAGTTGATCATTTTGATTGACTTTTATTAGAGTAGATTTTTCATGTTTTTTTTTTCGGTTTATTTTGAACCGTATTGGGACCAGAATAGAAGCCAGACATCGGCCTTGTAAGGGAAATGGCCAGGCTGGGGAAAAACAGTCTGGTGGGCAGATAGGCTTGGCTGTGATTATTTTGTTTTGAAACACATCAGCAACTAGCGGTAAACTGACAGTACTTGGCGTCCTCGTACAACACTGGCCAGACCACAAACATTCTTATGGGTTGTTTGATTTCTTTTAATTCTGGACACATGTGTCACATATATGTTTTTTTTTTTTTCAGACAAGTAATAAGTTAGTAGTGCTAATAGCTGAATGCGTTGTTGACTCATTATTTGTTTTCCCTCTTCTTTTTTGTAGCTCCAAAAACCTGCAGCCCCAAGCAGTTTGTTTGCAGGGATCAGGTGACGTGTATCTCAAAAGGTTGGCGGTGTGACGGGGAGAAGGACTGCCCGGACGGATCGGACGAGGCCCCAGATGTCTGTATGTATCAATGTTTCTCTGCCGTCAGCTGCTTTGAGGTTTTATTTGCATTTTAAACCTTGAGTACATCGATAGTCTCACAGGGCCTGCAGATAATTGGTGCAGTATGTACAGGTCATCGCTGCAGTTCTGCATTTCTTCTGTAGCATCGAATTTTCCAGGAATACTATATGTCCTCTGTATGAGTCCCAGCTGGAGGCCTTATGATTGTGAGTTTGTTCTCCCATGTTGGTGTGGGTTTCCCCCCCCCCCGAAAACACTAAAAAGCAACAAAACCCACCACAGCACTTTCATAAACACCTGCTCTATGCACTGCAAAATTTTCCTGATGCATGCAGTCACTGCGTACAATGACAAAAGATTGAATTTTGAGGTAATTTGATCCAACATATAATAATTTTTCAGTTAAGAGAATTGTTTGTTGACTTGTCTTAAGAGAATCCCTAAAAACAAATTGTGTATATTTTCAGACAAAAGTATCTGGGCTAAAACGCCCACATTGTGGTGAGGCAAAAAAAAAAAAGAGGAAAAATGCAGAATGTCTGAACTCCAATTTGTTGTTTTCCATAACAAAAACATGTGCAAAGTCTCTTTATATTTACATGTTGTTGTTTTTTTTATACAAGCTTTCACCAGTTCTTTTTACACAAATTATTATTTTTTTCCTGGTACCAAACTATATTGTCATAAAAAATAATAATTTTAATCAAATAATCATGAGCTTTCAGCCATTTATACTTTTTTTTTTTTTCATTGAAATGTAGTGATTTGAGACAAAGTTTTTTAAGGAATCTGAGCGCAGTTGAGTCCCACCACAGGCTGTGTGCAGCTGTTACGTGTTTCTGATAGGACGTATCAATGTTTGGTTTCTCTGAGTGGTCATTCTGTTTCCCAGATGACTTTGAGCTGAAGCACCTGTTTATTCGCTCTTCTTGTTTAGTCTGATCAGTTCCAATGACATTGACTTCATGTGGCCTTGCTTATATCTGTTTATGCTATCAAGAGGACACTGCGAGTACCAGACCTGTTTTCCAATTTCCTATATTCGGTGCAACACAACAAATTTACATCAACGTTATAATTAACACGGCAAAATGCCTTCAGCTGATGGACAACCACTTTCTATTATCTGCGTACTCATTCCAACTAGTCTGTTTTTCCCAGTTTGACAGGAATATTATAGTGTTTGTTTTTTGTTTTTTTCCCCCAACATATATAGTATATTTGAATTGATTTTATTTGTAATCCTTATATATTAGATACTGACACTGAAAGCCAGATTATATTTTCAGTATTTAATAGAGAATATTAACATTAGAGAATATTAATATTAATATTAACTCTATTAACAGACTGTTAATAGAGAATACCTCCATTTTCAGTCTGTTAATAGAGAATACCATATAAGGTGTCATTACCCAATTGAATGGACACCCACACGCTCAAAACTGTGGAGATGATCGTGGACTTCAGGAGAAAACCCCCTGCACTCTGAATCTGATTCTGATTCTGATTGGTGGTGTATTAGGCCAGCCTGTAAGTTTGCGCCACCCTGGTTTCCTCAGCAAAAACCCAATAGCAAAAATTTGTGATTCTTACACGTTTTGTTCATCATGGCAACCCTGTTGAAAAAACCAGCATTTGCTGGTTAGGTATGTTTTGATGCTGGGATGCTGCTTTAAGCTGGTCCTTTGCTGGTTTATGCTGGTCCTTTGCTGGTTTAAGCTGGTTTATGCTGGTCCTGTTGCTGGTTTATGCGGGTCCTTTGCCATCTTAAACCAGCAAAGGACCATCTTAAACCAGCAAAGGACCAGTTTAAACCAGCAAAGGACCAGCATAAACCAGCAAAGGACCAGTTAAACCAGCATCCCAGCGTCAAAACATACCTAACCAGCATATGCTAGTTTTTTCAACAGGGAATCTTCACAAATAAACATGAATTCTGAAGCCTAAATACAAAGCTAAACATAGGCTATAATCGAACTATTGTCACATGACTCCAACGTCACCACGGTTAAGCTTCCAACAACTCTTTCAGTCTTTATTTAAAACACACTTTCTCTGAAAGTTTGAGTAGAATAGTTTGCAAGAGTGCGATTATAAACACGAGGCTGTGAAAGTTGACTAGTGAGTAGATGAGTTCACCTGTTCGCTGTGATGAAGCTTTAAAAACGTCACAGAAAAAGATTGCTGATGTATTTTATGTTGAATTATGTAGAATAAAACATGAAAAAACATCTTGAGCTTGTGTGAACCACAGACCTCATTTCAGGCGTTTAACCAAAAACCCATTGACTTCAGGACTACGGGACTGGAAGTGCTACAGTGTGAACTCAGGTTCTCAGGTTTTGGCTTACAAAAATATGTCACCCCTGCAGTGCTCTACAGTAACTATTGAAAAAAGATGCTACCTAGCACTGCACATGATTTACATTCAATTTAACAGCAGCCTCTAATCACAGGTTGGGGTGAACGTTTTCGACTCTTAGTGTGTGATGTCTGGGAGTGTGAAGTATCTTTCCATTCGCACCCTTTCTGGCAGGGCTGCCTAATAGAAATGCGTTAAGCAAATAGTGTGCCGTCAGTTTGTCATGGGGCGAGTGGGGGAAGGAGACTGACGTAATTAGAATTAACTCGCTACTTGAAATCTGGCCCTGGAAAACAATGGCGCGGTTCATGAGGCAGCATTAGGACTTAAGGAATGTTTGTACTCCTTCGTCACAACCAATTACATGCTTTGAAATAATTTATCTTTCTCTAAAGAGGTGGTGTGGCTTGCAGAAGTGTTGGGTAAGAGCAGAGCTGAAGTACAGGCAGTTCGCAGAGACTGAATCCGCTCCATAAGAGGAGGAGAGGAGAAATAGAGGCTGAGCTGCCTTCAGTCTGGAAGTCATTAAAACCCCGTCCAGAGGAATGGAGGAAAACTGCTGTTTTTTCATGACCTGCTTTTCTCAGCTCAAAAGTTCTCTCGCTTTCTCTCTCTCAACACACATAGACAACCTAGTCTTCGGCGTTCTCTATTTTTGCTGCGCTACAGGGTATTGGCTCCTTTACGCTCTTTGCATTAAAATTAGACAGTTTTTCTTAATACTTTGAGAGCCGATGTGACGTCTTGCTCGCTGCTTTAGTAAAATGTTCCACTGCTTTGAAAAGGATGAACATTCTGCCATCATTTACTCACCCTATTTCCAAACCAGTATGATTTTCTTCTTCCATTCAACACAAAAGATGTTTTGAAGAATCTCTGCTCTTTTCCATACAATGAACATATTTACTGACCAGTTACTGTCAAGCTACAAGGACAAAAAGACTCCATAAAAATAGTACATACAACTTGTGTGCTACATTCCAGGTCTTTGGAAGCCAGACAAGGAGTTTTAAATTGAGATATTGCCCTTCTCCATAGCCCTCAAATCTGATTCACAAAAGCATAAATTCAAGCGTGTCATTCATTTGTGAGAAACAATGCCACTCTAGATAAATAAATAAATAAATAATTTCAATTTTCACAGCAATGCCAAACAACCATTTTGGTCACACTTTAGTTTGGGGACAAATTCACTATTAACTAACTATTAACTATGACTTTTTTGGCAATAAACTATTAATTTGCTGCTTATTATAGTTAATAGTTAGTAAGGTAATAGTTAAGTTTAGGTATGGGGTGGATTAAGGGATCTAAAATACAGTCATGCAGAATAAGGCATTAATATGTGCTTTATAAGTGCTAATAAACAGCCAATATGCTAGTAATATGCATGCTAATAAGCGCCTAGTTAATAGTGAGAATTGGTCCCTAAACTGAAGTGTTACCCCATTTTTGGTTCCTCAAAGATCTGTTCAGAGATCAGTTCTTGATCACATCTTAAAAGAACATTATTATTATTATTGTGAAGAACATTTCCACTATAAAGTGACGTGAGGCCAAGTATGGTGACCCATACTTGGAATTAGTGCTCTGCATTTAACCCATCCTTAGTGCACACACACAGCAGTGAACACACACACACCGTGAACACACACCCGGAGCAGTGGGCAGCCATTTATGGGCAGTGGGCAGCTGCGGCGCCCGGGGAGCAGTTGGGGGTTCGGTGCCTTGCTCAAGGGCACCTCAGTCGTGGTATTGAAGGTGCGAGAGAGCGCTGTACATTCACTCCCCCCACCTACAATCCCTGCCGGTACAAGACTCGAACCCGCAACCTTTGGGTTACGAGTCCGACTCTCTAACCATTTGGCCACGACTTCCCTCACAAAGTTTAGGTGCATTTTATGCATATTAAAGCAGCTCAGACATTCTTTGAATATGTTTTTTTGTGTTTCATGGAAAACAGAAAGTCTTGTTTAGAATAACATGATAGTGAATATAGATGATGATAGAATTTAAATAGAAAATATCACCTAAATCACGCTTAATTAGGATGCGTGTGGAAACGTGCTCTGTTTGTGGATCCCTCAGTGCAGATGCCTCAGATCACCGAAGATCTGCCCCATGAAAGAGGTTTATTTATTTACGTGGCTGGATTTCACTGTGTCTTTTGTGAAGTGGCCACGACCAGCAGTGAAGTCTGTCGCTGTGCCCGCTGCAGCTGCTGTGGCCGTCCTCTGTGGACAACTACAACACAATAGACAGCTTTGTACCGCCAATCCTGCGCTTCAGTGAGATGAGGACAGTGATATGCCTTTAGGAAGAAAATAATTATCATCCTTTTATCATCAAATGTCAGAGGTGTAAATATTAAATGTGTTTGTTTGTTTGGTCATGTGTCTTGTATCTACTGGAGGAGTGATCTTAAATGAGGTCTCACTCAAAAGTGTGTTTGAGATCAATATTGTCAATATTAATGAAAGCAGAAACATATACAGTAGGGCTCGACCATTTTTTTTCTTTTAACTCCGACTTCCTGATTTATCAACTAAAAAAAAAAAACAATGGCAAATTGGAATTGGTCAAGTGTTCATTGTGTGATTGTGAACTGTACAAATTTGAAAATGTACACATTTTGTAAACTGATAAAGCTTGACAGAAAATACTACTTATTTGGGTGGTTTATGAGATGCATTTCTCATCATTCTCTGCACAAAAAAATAAGCTAATTTAACAGTTACACAACAAATGCACAGCTTTGCTCTTCATTTTGTTGTAACATGATTTTTAAATGATTAAAGTCTTTGTCAGTAATTGAAAAAGAGAAAAATATAATGTGTTATTCTAACCAGAATCACTTTGATTCTAACCAGAATGCACATTTTTATTACTTCCAAACTTGTCAATAGGAACTTCCATTGTGGACCTAAAGGAAACATCAGATCTGTCTCATGTTGAGAGGGTTGAAGGTCTGAGCTCTGATCTCACAGTGGAGCTCTGACCCGCTGTGCTGAGATGAGAAGAGTCTGTTGTTTATCATCTGACAGCTGGACAAATGAACCGAGCATAAAATATCAGCTATGTGTTTAGCTTTAGAGCTTAAATTCTATAAAATGCTTAATCATTTATACACCTACTTGGTTGGCTGACTCATGGTGCATTCAGGAGTTCAATATCTGTACTATTTAAATGCAGAATTAATGATTTTCTCCCTCCAGCACACATAGTTTCAGATGTAGTCTTTGCAAGAAGTGGTAAATCTGCTTCAGATCAGTAATGCCTAATTAAACAGGAGGATTATTTTTTTCCACAGAGTGTTTAACCTGATCTGTCTCAGATCTGTTATTGGTATTTCTTCACCTCTCGCTTTTACTCTTTTAGTACCTGATCATTTACAGTAACTGTAGCTTTTGTTCTAAGATGCAGAACTTAATTTTTTCCCCATGATACAGTAAGTTTCAGTGATCGAATTTTTTTTTATTTTTTTTAAACCAAATTAGAAAAAAATGACTTGCAATCTGCTTCCTCCACATTGTGACATCACTGTGGAACCTATTAGCACATGACTGCCATCACAGCAACACATCAATGTCTACAATATTGCCTCTCGATTTACGATCAGTACTGACTTTAACACAGTGGGTTATAAAATATTCCTTGACTGTCTGCAGAAGAGTACTGACCTATCAGTTCCAGTCTATACTGATTTAGATCTGATTTAAGCTGCTGGGGTTATTACTTTATGTTGCTCTAGGTACACATACATGTCATGTGATATCTTGTGGAGTCCCCCAAGGCTCAATTCTGGGTCATTTTTTGATTTTTATTTATATATATATATATATATAAATAAAAGTCGTGGCCTAATGGTTAGAGAGTCGGACAGCCCTGAGCTTGAGGAAAAGAAATGCTTCCTCACCATCTTCAGCCTCAACCACGTCACTCAGCAGCAGAGAAGAGGTACTCGTGCTGTCTGTTGTGTTCATATTGATGCTCCGGGTTTTATTTTTATTTTATTATTATTTTTTTTTTAATCTCCTTTTTTTTTAAAGATATTTTATAAATGTTGATTAAAAAACTATTGTGAAATGACTGTTTCCATTAACTGATGTTATGCGACTAAAACTTAATTTTTTACTCTCACGATAAGTCATGGCGACGGATGTTGGTAGGTTTATGTATATAGCAGTCACCGCTCTAGCCATTATTTTTAATCGAAGGAGACTTAGGCATGTAACTTTAGTGAAGCAGCGCGGAGAGCCGCTTCTGGGAGCCGTAATGCGCCACAGAGGTGTGCAGTATAAATAAGGGGTTATACAAGCATTAACAGCAAGGAAAGCCCCTTATACTTGAAAGCGGCCATGTATGAGGTGTTCCTTGGAGGTTATAGTACATTAAATAATGATCATGTGACTTTTACGTATGGCAGGTGACCTGTAAATGCAGAAAAAAAAAAAAACTGTTTCCATTGCAGGTTTGCAAAATATACCTTTTTCGAATTGCCTGAAAAACTAATGTGAGCGTAAAATTTTTTTTGCAATATATGGGAGTTTTTTACGAAATTGACGTGTTTCAATTGGGTGTGTTTTCAATTCACAATTTCAATTTGCACAATTTGAAGGGTAATGGAAACGCAGCTATTTAGTACTCTGCTGAACTTCACAGAGAACATACATTAGTGGTTGTACTAGAAAGTTACACAACTTAATTAATATTGAGTATTATATCAGTTAATGAAATTACGGTATTTAACTGTACATTTAAGTTAAAACCGTAAAACCTAAAACGTTGCTACCTTATTTTTTACGGTACAATTCCGGCAACCACAGCTGCTGTTTTTCTACCGTAAATTTTACGGATTTTTTTTACAGTGTGTAACTGCGTTTGTCATTGCTTATGGAACCTAAAACAAATGTGCTCTTCTGACATCAGTTAGGCAATGTTTCATGTCTGTATAGAAAATTGATAACGTTAAATCTATCTCACGAGCTGTTCAAAATTCTGTGTGGACCAGCAGATGCAGAACGTCTGTTGTCAACACGACCTATAGCTTTCTGGTTGCTTCGGGTCCAAGTTGGACAAAAGAATGCTATAACAGATCTTGAGGATTGCTGAAAGAAAGACTGATGTCCCCTGACCCTCCACCAGGATGAGGCAGAACACAGGCAGAAAAAAAATCATTACAGATAGCACACTCCCAGATCACAACCTGCTTGGGCTCCAACCCTTCGGCCGGCGTTACAGAGCACTAAGCACCAGAACAAGAGTAGCAGTGTTACCAAGTACTTTCACACTGTTGCCGTGGGTTGTTTTTTAGTCCGCGGGTTAAAGTGGTCGAACATGATTTCAATGAAGGGGACCCCTGACGGAGAGGAAAACCGCAGAAAAAAACAAAAACAAAACAAAAAAAAACACGATTAGGCGAGTTTTGGGCTAGTTTTGAATAGAGTTGGGTTGGTTTTCTTTCGCAGACCTGGCAACCCTGAAGAGCAGCTTCGTCCTTCTGAAATCTGCATCCTATCTCGTGTCATCGCTCAATAAATGTTTAAAACGTGGAAAGATGACAATAGCTTGTAAACAATGTGTCACGTAACGTCACATTTACCACAGAAAAACATATTCGGTGACCATGAACTCTTTAGTCAGCTAGAAAAATGAACTCTAGAGAGTTAAAATATGCACCATATAACATTCATTATCATTTTTTTTTTTTTTTACTTTTCTTCAATATTTAGCTTATGTTTGAATAAATCCGTCAAGTTTTTGTGACAGCCACCATTTAAATGTTTATATTTCAAAAAACGAATTTGAGTTGAAATATAATCATGTAATTTTAAGTTAAGTTTGTATTATAACTTTAATATTACAACAACTTTATTGAGTATATTTTAAGTGTTTGCATACAAATCAGCAAATTTCAGCCTTCCATATTATTGACTCTCAGGTACTATTTTACAGCATAAGTTGAGAGATTTTTTTTTCCTCAAGAAAATTTGCCATGTCCTGTGCCTGATATATATCCAAAATAATAGATATTGAATCGAAATCAGAATCGAATCAAATCGCAAGCTTGTGAAGGATAAGCGAATCGAATTGTGAAATTTGTGTCAAAACCCAGCCCTACTAACGAGTTTCAAAATTTCTCAAATCTTTCATTGTTTGGCCCTGAACTCATTGGTTGAGCCAGAAGTTGGCATGTTGAACTGCTCAAATAAACAGAGCACTATTCTGAAAGGTCCGAAGAGTCACTTCAGGATGTTAAAGGTCCCATATTGTCAAAACTGAAATTTCCTGGCTTTTTTCATGATAACTGAGGTCTAGGTGCTATGTAACTACCATATAAGTTTCAAAACAGTCAGTCCACAGTAAAATGCACACAGCCTGCATAAAGTAGCTGTTATTTTTCACGAACCATTGTGACTTCCGTTAAAAGGTCCTCAGAAAACAACAGGCCAATCAGAAGAGAGGCGCATGAATATTAATTAGACAGGCCAAAATCGACCTGTTCTCAGCAGGGCTCCTGAGAAAGGAGCTGTAAAAATATATTGAGATGGTTTTTGGTACTTATACCGCAAATATATATATTCTTAAGGACATCAAAACCTAAAATAAAACTCCAGAAAGGTGTAAAATATGTGACTTTTAACCTACCAATACAGGAGACTGAAATTGAGATATGGGAACATATTCTGACAGAAGAACAGACATATCCGCTCACACATGCTTCATAGAAACCCGTAACATAATAAAGCAGTGACTTAATACAACACCACTGATGTGTGTTTGTACTGGCACTGTATTGATGATCTCATCAGTAAGCTAGAGGTTCAGAGAACATTTATTGTTTTAAACTCTGCTGTGTTGCATCACATTTCTGCACAAACACGTTCGCTCATTTCTGGTCAGTGATTTGGGGAGTTCTGGTCCGTTTTCACTCCACGCCCAGTGTCCTGTCCACTCCAGAGCGGACGAGAGCTCAGAAACACAAATACAGCTCATCCAGTGACTCAGAGACAAACACATGACTGCACACTTATGGACACATTCATGATAAACCATCAACTGGAAAATCTAACCAACAGTGTTTGAAAGCAAGAAAGGAAATTAAAAATGATGCATCTGTTACATGAGGTTAAAAAAGTGCTTTTCAGATTGTTACAGTAAAATAACATATAACAGATGCTGTGTGTGCAGTAAATTCTAGTATGCTTTCAAAATATTTCACCTACACTTTAAACATATGAATTCTTGTTCCAGTGTTAATATATGGTACATAATGCGATCTAGCATTTCAGCTTATCACATGGAGGTTTTGATACGATCAAAAGCGGGATGCTTTGGAGATAGTATCGTCATCTTTATGCTTTTGTTGTCTGCTCTCTTTCAGGTCCTCATAACCGTGTGTCGCGCTGTCCTCCTAATGAACATCAGTGTCTGGGTTCAGACTTGTGTGTTCACATGAGCAAGCTGTGTAACGGCGTCCCCGACTGCACTGACGGAGGAGACGAGGGGCCGCACTGCAGAGGTAATGACTGCATGACTTCAAACATCGCTTGATTATATATTGCTATATATTTCTAGTTATCCAACATTAATACTATCATTATGACTTTGCAAAGTTCAAATTTACATTGAAATAAACCATGGGCTAAACAGCAAAACATTATGTTTTTAATAGATTTTCCAGTGAAAATATCATCCAAAATAAATGTACTTAATGAGCAAAACTGTGTGAGACATTAAGGATAAGTTTTCAGAGAATATATCTTGAATGTAAATGTATTTTGTTTTGTGGTTCTGTCAGATTATTCACTTGTTTTTCACCTAAAGGGATAGTTCATCCAAAAATGAAAGTTATTATTCAATCAGCCTTATGTTTTTACGAACCTATAAGACTTTGTTTTCATATTTGGAACACAAATCAATATATTTTTAATAATCGCTCATTTTTTGTCGATCCATTTAATGTTCGCGTAACTAAAACTTTGACACTTCAAAAAGTTCATTTTTGAAAAATTGTAAACAAAATCCATATGAATCAAAGTCATATGAAATGGAGTCTTCTTAAAGGCAGAGTAAGTGATTTTTCAAAAACACTTTAGAAAACTGATTCGGGCCGAATTGCAAAACAAACTTGTAGCCAATCAGCAATAAGGGGCGTGTCTACTCGTGATGTGGAGGAGAGCGCGTTCAGTGCATGGAACGGACATTAGCCGAGCCGAGCGACAGAAAGATAGAGATGGCGGATAAATATCGGATCAGCTTCCCAGCGCTGGAGAGAACTCAAGGAGCAGAGGCCTGCAATCGGACGCCGAGGTTGCTTTGTTTCTTCTCAATAGGTGAGTAACACCGTGTCTACAACAGCTAAAGTCTGCCTACACTGGACGCGATCAAACGACCGTTGAAAACCATTTGAAATGTGTGTCAGCACGTCATAAATAGAACCCGGCAGCAGTTTTCTGACGGGGATTTGTTGC